CAGAACTGACTGCTGCAGCTGAATAATTCTGCTGTTGATTTAAATATCAGCGATGTATCTCAAGGACGGATGTCGTCTTGTTAGTTGTGCCTTCAGTATTTACTGAATTGAAAATATGTGATTAGTTTGATGCAATTATTACAAATTAATACCAAATTATAAAATTGTTCTAAACTTGTAATGAACGGTTTTGGAAGCAAGAATATTTTTATATGACAGGTTTGATGAGTAAATTGGTTTTATCAATAACAGTTTAATATATTATGACAATAGATGTAGAAATATATGTTGAAAATAGATTCTATATCTATGGACGGACCCAGAAACTTGTTTCATTCTTTATGCATGCTCTGCCCATAGCATAGTTTAATATAAAAGTGATCAATAAAAAACGCCGGAGCATGAATTGAATGAATGGAAGGAATCTCTAGCTCTCAAATTGATGCTCAAACTGGGCGTGGGACAATAGGAAAAGAGTAACAATGCAATAACAATTGTTGTTGATGTTGTTGTTGATGTTGTTGTTGATGTTGTTGTAGTTGTTTTTGCTGTTGTTGATGAGGATGTTATCAAAGAGCATTTAAATGGCTGTATGTATAGAAATCTTTGAATGGTCCTGCGAAACATATTGATGCGATTGAATGGTTCGCATGCCAATGTATTTGTTGCTGTGGTCCTCTCAATTGGTGTCGTGTTTGTTTTCATGTGAATTATTCTGTACATTTTATTGCCATGTTATTTTCAATGCATTTATGAAATTGTTTGTTTGTGACGGTTTTTGTTAGAACAACTTTTATTTGATTACATTTCAAGACAAAACTTGTTTTATAATGATGATGATGATGTTATTGTTGTGGTTTTATTGGCAATTGGTCACACACACACACACACACGAAACGAAACGAAATTTTATTTGCTCCATAAAATTTTAAAAAAAACACACACGCAAACACACACACACAGACACACACACACGCACGCACACACACACACACGCACACGCACACACACACGCACACACACACGCACATTAAATTTACAGGCAAACACAAGTGGATCATCAATGCCTAAGCTAGGCAACATTGATGATGAAAACCATTACGATCCTTGCAACACAAACACACACAAATTCATTTTAAATAATTAAACAACCCGATAAAACTTGTTTGAAAAAATGCTTCCTGCAAACAATTTCTAACCAGTAAGTAAACAATTAAAAAGTACTTGAAAGCGTTTGAGTAGCAAGCATGAAGATGTGAGTGTTGATTGTTTGAAGTTGACCGAACGAGGTGTTGCTTGTGTGCTGCTATAAATCTGCCGATGTAGAAGCAGAGGTGTCGCTGGCAAGGTTGCAACGTGTCTCAACTTTGTTGCCAACATTCATCAAGACACCAGCAGTTGTGGAAAACAATTAATTTTTCATTTCCAAACAAAACCACTGCTTCTTCTGCTTCTCTCTGCCTTTGTCTGCCTCGTACACAGCGTGGTGAGTTCTCGGTCTTTTGGGTACATTTTTGCTCAAATATTTTATATTACTTTTGTTTTTTGCATAAACGATATAACGCACTAAATTGATATTTTGGCTTATGAGAACACAGTGAGCCAATATGAGAATATGAGAATTGAGATTTGCACGTGAGAGTTGTGAAGATGCGCCACATAACGATCCGGATGAAGTTTGTTACTGGCTGGTTCGCACTCCATCTGATAACAAGATTGAAGATGACGTCAGGCGCTTAACATTTCTCAAATTTTTCAAATAAATTTCATTTTTTTGTCAATTCTTATCGTTATTTTTTTGTTTTTTTTTCTCGCTTCTGTGTTTCCGACTGAACTGAACAACGATGCTGAGATTTTCGTTGTGGCTACTGCCTTTGAATGATTTTGAATTTGCTGCGTCAATTTTCATCTTTCAGTTATCTGTTTTGGCATCGTTGTTGTGTTGTTGTGAGGCTCTGTGTTGTGTTGTTGTGAGACTGTGTTGATGTGTTTGCCATTGCAATGTATTGCGTTGTTGTAGAATTGTGTTTGTTTGTTTTGTTGGTGTACATCTGTTTGCCGTATTGTTGTATTTTTTGTTGTTGCGTTGTAGAGCCACTGTTTGTTGTGTTGTTGTATCGTTGTTTGTTATGTTGCTGTGCGTACTTAGAAACAGCAGAATTTTTCGTGGCTAGCGATCTGCATGACTTCCGCTTATCTTCTTCATTTTTGATTTATAGAACCATCCAGAAAAAGCACCAACAATACACCTTGTACACATTCATAAATACATATATTCATACATACATACATACCTACCTACATACAAAGATACATATATACATACATACACACACATACATACATACATACATACATACATACATACATACATACATACATACATACATACACACATACATACATACATACATACATACATACATACATACACACATCACTGAATCTTACATGTGACTTATCTGATCTTTCCAAATGAATACGGCCATTTATGTGCTGGATGATGAAAATTTAAAAGATGAACAAACTTTACTTGCTATTGTTCTTATCGTTATCATTGCTGTTGTTGCTATTGTTGTTGTTTTTGTTGTTTTTATTACATCATTTTCACCTTAATCCATCATACAAACGCACACACACACACACACACTGAATACACACACACAGACACACACACACATACATACACACTCACACGCACACACACACACCATACACACACATACCATACACACACATACCATACACACCCAAACCCACACACACACACACACACACACACACACACACACACACACACACACACACACACACACACACTGTGTGTGTTTAACACTGACTCAGTTGATGTGGCTTGCATACTAGCAGAAACAAACAAACAAAAGCACGTGACGATAACAGTCCATAAATTGAATCGATATGCGGGAAGGATGGGGCGAATATGAAAGTCCCTTCAAAATCGTGCAGATACGATCTGTGTCAAGTGACTTCACTTTCCTCCAATGCTATCACCATCATCATCGTCGTCATCATTACCATTTTTGCAAGCTTTGTTCGCTGACGAATTATGATTAGACAAATGTGAGCAAATAACTTATTTTACCAAATCATCAATAGAGCAACACCACAAAAAAACAACCACTACTACAAACGACACCCGCCACAAACGACCACTACCACAAATGACCACCAGCACAAGCGACCACTACCGCCATTTCAGCCTCTCACAACGTTCCTCTCGGGAGATTGATGGCCTGTTTTGAATAAATATATTTATATTCCATATTAACGCACTTCATCCTCGGCTGATCACAGAATATAATCCTGCACGTACATATTTCACACGTACACACACACACCTTCCCACAGTTTGTATATTTGTATGTGTATGTGCGTATGTCTGTGTGTTTGTGTGAGTGTAAGTATGCCGGCACATTGTGCATTTGAGCAAAGGAACATGAAGTAATGTGTTTGTTTCCACTAACACATACCGACGCGAGTAGGAATAATTACACATCCGCTCGTTTGTTACCGTATCTCATGCACATCCATTATTAACGTCATTTCTTATTTATGCAATCTATGTATTTATGTTACCAGCTGATAAAAAAAAGTAAAATAGCAAGTGCAACATAATAATAATGATGTTATAAAATTGAGGCAATTTTATAAAATCGAAACTTTTTTTGTCTGGATAAGTTTCAGGTGGCTGGAATGGGACAGTTTGCCCAAAAACGAAACTGTCTTAGAAAAACCTGGTCAGCCTGACACACACATACACAGACACACACACACATATGCAAGCACACAAACATACATTCAAACATGCACACACACAGATATGCATACAAACGTACGCACAAACATACACATCAGCATATCTGCAAACAAGTGAAAGCTTACTGCACAAATGTACTCGCATTAGCATTCATCATAGGATTTTTGAAGAAAATTGACGTTCATAATTCAGTGACCCGAGACGACTGGTCATTATATGGTCACTACAAAGGTCTTGTGCCATGTTCCGTTGTGCTGGGCTGTTTTTTGATGTGTTGTTTTGTGTTTTGATGTGTTGTTGTTTGGAATGTTGAGTTGTTTGTGTTTAAGATGAGATGTTTTGTTATTGTGTAAAACATGTTGTGCTTTTGTGAAACATGTTGCAAGGAGTTAGGTCGTTATTTACAAATTTATGTTGCTGTTTGTGCTGTTATGCTGTAGTGTAATTAGTTTCAATTTTGTTCCACTTATTGATTTTATGTTTAACGTGTTTTTTGGAAAGTTTTGTTTACAATTTTGTCCTTTCAAAAAGTTTGTGTCCTTATTGACGATGTTTGTTGTTGTTTTATTTGGGAATTACAACTTGAAACGCATCATTTCTTCCATTATTAATCATAGCAGCGGTTTTTTTTACAAACGGCAGAAGTGATGGCGCTCCTAAATTATTCGCATGCGCAACAAATTTGCTTTTGTTTTTGTGCACTTGATTTACATAATTTCCAAAATAGTTAATAAAAACCAATTTCGACTTTTGTTTTAAATTTTTCAATAACTTTTATTGGGAAACCTTTAGATCAAACAACTGTTTAACTAAACCTGTTAGTAACAAACATCTAGACATCAAACCAGAGATACATCTTACCAGACAAACAAACATCTATCCAGACAAACAAACATCTATCCAGACAAACAAACATCTATCCAGACAAACAAACATCTATCCAGACAAACAAACATCTATCCAGACAAACAAACATCTATCCAGACAAACAAACATCTTTCCAGACAAACAAACATCTATCCAGACAAACAAACATCTATCCAGACAAACGCTCAGCCAGACGAGCATGCAAGCTAGGGGCGTTCTCGTCTCTGCTAATATAAAACTCAGCACATTGGTCGGAAGGAATTTAATTGGTCCGCGGTAGGCGTGAGTGGGCGTTGGGGGGATAATGAAATTAAAAGAGGCTACAATTTATTGCATTCAAACTTGACCTTTTAATCACTCGTCTGTTGCTTACATTGATGTTGTCGTTGCTGCTGGGGCTGCTGTTGTCGTTGCGCTGTTGCTGCTGATAAGGCTGCTGCTGTTGTTGTTGTTGATGATGCGGATGTTGCAGTGGTCGATGTTGTTACTGATAATGTTGTAGCGACTGATTTTGTAGTTGATGTTGTTGGCACTATTGATGTTGTTGGTGTGATATGAGTGCATATTTTTGCATCATCACAATCATCCTCTTTCTCCTCCTTCTCCTCCTCACCATCATTCTCCTCCACCTCATCATCATCCTCATCATCATCCTCCTCCTCATCATCATCCTCAGTTTTATTGTCAACAGTTTTTGTTTTCAGCAAGGGTCTCGTCAAATGTAAAAAGTTCAAGTACAGTTTTGCTGTGTCGCGCTGTAAACTCGCCTTTAAAATCAAAATAACGTTTGCAATGCGAGCGATGAAGATCACGTTGGTGCAGATGATAATGCCACTCTGAAGATGATGTTGCTGACGATGGCAGTGATAACGACAGGGCTGATGATGATGGTGATGGTGATGATGATGGTAACGATCTTGACAATCTATTCCATAAAATGACATTGATTATGTGGATGAAAAAGATGAAGATGACAATGATTGTGTTGTTGATTGCAACGATTTCACCCTTAACCTATCTAGCTTTCATTTTGATGGAATTAATCAGCAATTTTCGTTGAATTTATCCAACAATGCTTAGTTAAGAAGGCAATTTATTGGAGAAGAAAGAAAAAGAACGTGACGTTGTGATGTTGTGATGTTGTGATGTAATGACGTGTGATGATGTAATGATGTGGTATGGTGATGGGATGGTGATGTAGTTATGATGTTGTGAGGGTGTGGGCTGGCGTAGTTTTGTCGTTGTTTATACTTTTTAATATGGTGGTGTTGAAATCACGTGTTCTTATTTGAAGTTGGGATTGAAGCAAAAATTTTGCCTGTTCTCGTTGGAATGGAGGTGGGTTCCGAACGACCAAGTTGCCTCTTTCGATATTTTCCGTGTAAAAAAAAGAAACGCCGTTTCAAGTTGTGTTAATTTTCACCAACCGTGATAAGATCTTAAAACAGAAATGCTGACGAATGTTCGATATATTGACGATATATGGACAAAAATTTGAAAACTTGTCGATGGATAATTTCGTTTTTCTCAAACAACAAAATCACGTTAATTGGGGCTAATGAAACCTTACATTAAAAAATATAAAAGAGTTAACGATTTCATGTGTAATGTTAAAGAAGAAAGAGTAATGTTTGGTCGAGCAGATGATCACTCACATGGGTGAGAATGACGATGATGACGACGACGACGATGACACGAAGGACACATACATGGATAACTGGAAAATATTATTAAGCATTCTCTGCACAGAAGAAGTTTGATGTATTATTCAATTAAGCAGACATTCAGGCCAACATCTTGCTTTCTTTTTCTTCTTATTTCTCTTTTTTAAATTATTCTTTCACAGAATTTCCTTCCAAACACATGTATGCATTAAATTTGACAGCGCTTCAACAATACATTATACAACAGCTTTTTTCCTCAATTCCTACAAATTCACTAAAAATGTTTTCTGTAAAAAATTTTTGTCTGCAATTCTGTTCATCACTTTATAAGATTTTTTGCATGTATGTGTCAAATAATTACCTGGTTCTGTTCCTACCTGCACCCGAATTACCCTCTAAGATTCCTCCACATACTGCTCCAAGTTTTCATTTTACTTGTGAATTTATAATTTTGACTGTTATTGATTCTTTGGATATTTGTTTATTTTGTAGAGTTTGTCGAACATGAAATCTTTTGCAGAATGTGCAAACATTTGTTCGTTCATGTTCATTTTGCATACCAACAAATCAATAATCGTTCATTCATTCGATTTGTGTTGAAAATTTCCGTTCACAGATGTTTCATGTTCGTATTTCACGATTCTGTTCATCTTGTTGTTTAACGTTCATGTTCATCTTGTTGTTTATAGTTCATGTTCATCTTGTTGTTTAACGTTCATGTTCATCTTGTCGTTTCACGTTCATGTTCATCTTGTTGTATCACGTTCATGTTTATTTTGTTTATATTATATTTATGCACATCTTGTTAATGTTTCTTGTTAAAAAAATTTGCATTTTATTTGTTTGAATGTTTTAGAAGATCAAGCTTGAAATCAACAGAAAATCGTATTGAATAATATTTTTATTAAGAAACATTTGAGAACATTTAAATTTAAATGACAAAACTATAAAATAAAATGTACCAAATTATATTACAACAACAAATCTCAACAAAATAACAACAAAATAACAACATCATCAACAACATCAACGGCAACGCAACAACAAGAACAACATCAAAAACAACACATCATCAACAACAACACGACATCCATAACAACATCATCAACAGCAACATAAAAAACAACATAAAAAACAACATATCAACAACAACAAAAACAACATCAAAAACAACACACCATCAACAACAACACGACATCCATAACAACATCAACAACAACAGCAACAACTTTAAAAACAACACATCAACAACAACATCAATAACAACATCATCACCAACAACAACAAGACAACAGCACAGCGACCAGCAGACTTCAAAGACACACCACCTCCACAAACGTCAATTGCAGTCCGCTAGCTGCCACAATAAACAGATTTTTATTCGTTTATTGAATTATTTTCTTGTACTTCTTTTTTCATTCATTTACATTTCTTCCTTCCTTTCTTTCTTTCTCTCTTTCTATTAAATTGCAGTTAATTTAATTTGAAAAAGTTTCTGGTTTGGTGAAAAAATATTTTAAATTAAAAAAAACTTGTAAATAACAAAAATAAAACAAGCATACAATCTTTGGAGAAAATTTAACACTCAAACAATTCAAAATTTTCTTTAAAATCTGTTTTCATAGGAGGAGTAATGCTGATGAGATAAACTAATCAGATGATTATTAAGATTGTATTACAATTACATATCTTAACAAAATAACAGCGTCATCAACAACAACACATCAACAACAACAACAACAACAACACACCATCAACAACAGTAACAACACAACAACAACCTCAAAAACAACAACAACAACACAACATCAATAACAACAACAACACAAAGCCACATTATTTACCTCATTAACATAACGGCCACGGTCAGATATATTTATCATCATCATCCAGAAAAATGTTTCACTCAAAGTCTGTTATTTATTTTTTATTCATATTTTTACACTCGATCTTATTTTATCTGAACATGTTTTTATATTCTTTAGATTCGTTATTCTCCCTCTTATTTCTTTGTTAAATTATTATTATTACTAATTATTACTATTTGTTTGTTATTATTTATAATGTTAATATCATTATTTAATTATCACTATCCTAATCATCATCGTTGTCGTCGTCAGTGTCATCATGACCTCCACATCACCATCATTATCATCGTCACCATCATCGTCACCATCATCGTCACCATCATCGTCATCACCATAATAGTCCTCATTATCATCATCACCAACAACACTTCCACATCCACCACCACCACCATCGTTATCATTATCACCATCATCATCACCAACACTTCCACATCATCATCATCATTACTATCACCATCACCATTACCATCACTATCATCACCATCCCACCAGCACCCCCTCAATGCAGATCCACCATGAACTTGGTTCAGGATGTATTCGAATGTCATCAGGGAACGCATATTCTTCAGGTTTGTCTTCTTATTTCTTTTTATATTATTATTATTAATTATTATTTATTTGTTATTATTTATATTATTATGATTAATGTTACTATTATTCCCATTATTATTATTATATTATTATTATTATTTTAATGAACCCCAATTGAACAATTAAACCAACCCTTCTAAAATGTACTCACTTGCAGTGACGAGCATTTTAGATTAAATAGGATTTTATAATTATTTCATTATTAATATTTGGTATTTGGAGTTAGAAAATAAAAGGATGTTCCCATTATTATTATTATTATTATTATTATTATTATTATTATTATTATTATTATTATTATTATTATTATTATTATTATTCGTTTGTCTTTGTAGTTAGCTGTAGATGTTATTGTTGTTTTGGTTACGTTCAGTTGATGTTATTTCATGCTGTTGTTGTTGTTTTTGTTGACGATGTTGAAGATTGGCTACTTTGGTTGATGTTAATGTTGACGTCGTTGTTGAAGTTGAGGCTGTTTGGCATGTTGTTCTTTGAATTGATGCATTTGTTGTTGTTGTTGTTGTTATAGGTTGCAGTTTGCAGTTTTTGATGCTATTGCTGTTGCATTTTTTACAATTATTATATTTTTTGTTGTTGTTAAATTTTTTGCAGCATATCTGCACAACCACAACAACAACATGACAACAACAACAACATGACAACAACAACAACATTACCACAATAAAAACATCAACAAACGAACGAACGAACGAACTGGTAATGAAGGCGCTTGTTAAAGTTTTGTTTGTGGGGCATAAAATTGTTTGCACAAAAGTACGTCGATCAACTGACTGCTAATTGATGATCTTTTGTTTTGTTGCCATGGGAATAGGACACGTGACATTGAAGGACCAATGGAATGATTTGTTTACTTTTGTTTGCTTATTTGGTGTGATGACGTATGTGTATGCAGGATGTTTCGTCGTTGTGTGTGTGTATGTGTATGTGTGTGTGTGTGTGTGTGTGGTGTGTGTGTTTTGAATTTCAGACTGCATAGCCTTCAAAAATTCATTTCAAATTTTCATAGTTCAATTTTTTTTCCCAACGAAAGCAATGAACAGTAAAAAAATAATTAACCAGAGCTTGATTTGGAAAGATCATTTCAAATAACTGCCTTTAAATGAAGAATTTTTAGCTTTAAATTTAATTTTTTTCAAATATATGGTATTGAATATTGATTGGAGCCCCTGCAAGCTGGAAACAAATTTGTCGACCATGCACTCTGAAGATTATCAACTCCACAAAAAAACATCAACCCATTTGCTCCGCTGATTCATCATTCATAAAACAAAGATTATCAGATGACGGTGATCAAATTTAAAACAGTATTTATAATACAATATAAGAAGTTAAAAATCATTCATATGTATAGCACATCAGCGACCATGAGCGTGAAACATTATATAGCATCAGGTTCATATGATAGAAATATATCACAGTTAACTGGCCGAAGGAAGTGATCATCATCCTTATTTATTACACCAAGTCGTCATACTTTATTGTCATTAGAAGCGTTAACACTGTTGTTTATGTGCAAGATGTTGGAGTTGGGTGGCGGAGATAAGCTATAAACAAGTGCCAGAGCAGAACTGCATTGCAACCATAAATTTAGAACGCTCACGACCAGCTAGTGTGTATGTGTAGTCGCGTATGTGTGTGTGTTTGTGTGTGTACGTGATTTCTTGCCTTGCTAATTTATTAGTTTAACACTGCAATAATTTTTACTAGCGGGGCATGTTGGACGATGCCCACATTTCATCAAGCAAACCAACACAACCAAAGCACAAACACACACTATTGAACAAGAACATGTGCAAAAGTACAATGATACAAACATAACCATCCACATTCTCAAACACGCATCGTATAAACAGCAAACACACAAAAATGCGCATATGCGCCAAAAACACACGCACACACATACATACACAAACGCACACGCACACACACATACCTACACGCACACATACACGCACACTGGCCGATATCAACAAAGCAAAACGAACAGTTTTTTTATTTATTCAAAAGCAGTTTGGGCAGCAGCACGAGCTAATGGACTAAATAAAGCGCAACGCATTTAATTGTTCCGCAAGCTGCGTACAACGTGCAAGTGTACAACGTACAAATGTACACGACTTGGCAGACCTTGTTCACTAGAGCGTGCATGTTTGTGCACACAGCTGTGATACACAATAAGTAGCCATTTGAGTGTTGTTGTACTCTGTACTTACCCAGCAGTGATGTGATTACTTGGTACTTGTCAGCGCTGCTGAGCAATCGCCTGTTTGATGAGTACATTCCTTCATGTTCAATACAAATGAAAGAATCAACGCCAGTTAATAGCGTTCATTTCGTTTGTATTAAAAACTATCCAGAATAACCTTTTGTTGCAATCATTCGCAATTATCTACACTCAGACTTATTATTTAATTGTTTAATATATTTTTCTACTCCGTGAAAGTATATTTTTTATGTGTCCCTATGAAATGTGTGTGAACACGTACGTACACACACACGTACCCACACACACACACACGTACCCACACACACACACACGTACCCACACACATACACGCATCACGTACGCAGTCACGGTGGCGGATCTAGACAATTTTGACAGAGGGGGGCCTAAATTTAGAAAATGTTTAAACGACATTGACCGCGAGGGGAATTTCGAAGTTCTTCGAAGGTTGACATGGATCGGAGGAGGGAATAATTAAATTATGGGTGGGGGGTTAAAATATTTAGGTTAGGTCAACACGATGGAACGTTTATACGTGTTCACGTGGGGCCACATTACGGTGACGACCATTTTTATGGCTTATCAGGTGAATATTTATTGTCAAAAATGCTACTTTTCCCCACTTTTTGATGCTAACATTCACTTTTACTCACTTGTAATAAAAGCACTGCTCACAGCAGGGAGGGGGGCACTGCCTCTCTTTTGTCTCCCCTAAATTTGCCACTGTGCACACATCGACACAATCACACAAACACACACCAACACTAACACAAACGCATACTAACGCATATAACAAGTTTTTAGAGAGCCTTTCTAAAATTATTCATACATACAAAAACTACACACACACACATATATATGCATATATATACACACATACATAAACACACATACACATTTACACATACATCTATACATACATACAAACACATACACATACATACAAACATACACCAACACGTACACACGTGCGTAGACGTGCGTACACATACACGTGCAGAAGCTTACGTTTCATCCCGATGCAGAAAGAAGTGAGTTAATTAATATGTAAATTCATTCAATTATTTAATATTGTTGTTGTTGCTGTTGTCACATACGTGTGTTGTTGATGTTGTTGTTGTTATGTGTGTGTTGTGTGTGTTGTATGTGTCGTGTGTATTGTATGTGTTGTATGTGTGTTATGTGGTGTGATGTTGCGTTGTGTGTGATTTTGTGTGTGGTATTGTGCGTGATGTTGTTTGTATGATGTCCGAGGATGTGTAAATTTTGCACATTCCTTCCTTTTTTAAAAAAACATTTTAAAACATTTGTATTAATTTAAGACTATTTAATTGATAAAGTAAGAATTACGTAATAAAGTTATTGAGAGTATGCATTGTGAGTGTGCTTTCCACAACACTAAAAGTTTGTGCCTGGGTGTTTTCGGAAAGAAAATATATTTGATGCAGTGTGTATGTGTGCGTGTGTGCGTGCGTGTGTGTGTGCGTGTGTGTGTGCGTGTGTCTATGTATACGTGCGTATGAGTACGTATTATTGAGCATGTGTGCATGTGAATAATTGGTGATGAGATGCAATGTGCTGGATAATTCCATAGGTTCTGCCTTTTTCCTGTCTATCCCATCTGTATGTGCGTGTTCGTATGTGTGTGTGTGTTGGTACGTGTGTGTGTGTTTGTTTGTAAATGTCTGTGCGTGTGTGTATGTTTGTGCGTTTGTGTATGTGTGTAAATCTTTCTGTGCCTGACAGTGTTTGCGTGTGTAGGTTTATTTCATCATTATAGTCAGTAGTTGAAGCATGATTCCATACATAGACATAAATGTATTATAAGTTGTAGCATAATGAAATGTATGTGTATAATAATCATTCAATCATAACATAATTATTTGATTTTATTTTATGCCTCTGTACCAAAGTGAGGTCTGAAATCTTTTTTCAACGTTTTTATTCTAGCAGAAGTAACTCGACAACTGGGGAGATAGATGTTTGTTGGCTGGCTGGTTCGTTTGTTTGTTGTGTCACTTGGGTGGATAATTTCCAGTAAAACTTGAATTTAATTTTTGCAACTTAACTATTTAATATTATTAATAATAATAATAATAAGGAAATTCTTCCTGGCTTCAGTTCATTTGAACTTGTACATTTTTAGAAACTGCTTTATAAAGTTCATAGGTTCTAATTGACAGAATTTAAGAAAACATTGAAATTTTATGAGAGCATACAAACTTCGTGACAACATACAAACTTGATAAGAACATACAAACATACAAACGTACAAAGAATACAAATATTGTTTCATCAGGAACCAGTAACCATGCACTTGAGGCCAAACATTTACGTATGGCCTATTTTCTTTTTCTTTTTTTTGACATTGTGCAGTTGATGATGCTGTTGTTGTTTGGGAACACCTGAGCTCAGCCTCCCGAAAGTAATTATACGAATACACTTGCACTCACATCATTACAAATTACACAACTACAACAACACCAACACAACAACAACACAACAGTCAACATAACAACAACACATTAATCAACACAACAACAATACAACAACAACATCAACACAACAATCAACACAACAATCAACACAACGACAACAACACCACCAACACAACAATCAACAAAACAACCAACACACAAACAACACAACAATGAACGCAACAACAACAACAACAACACGAAAACCAATACAACAACGTACACACTACCAGCACAACAACCAACAAAAACAATCAAA